ACTCGAATGGGAATGGAAAGCCAACTAAAATTCTTTAACAAGGCAAGGACAAACACCTCTAACTTGTTTTACGGTCTAAGTCAGTGTAGGAAGTCTTCCACTTCTCTGTTGAAGTCCTCTGCAAAACGCAGGTGTAGATTATGCTTTCCTTCTGCCATCAAAAGCAACCTTAAAAGAGGGGAAAAAAAACCCCACTGAATATACATTTTATTCTGTCAGCATAGGTAATTAAAATATTTGCTGCCTTTCCCTTGCTCTCTGTTACCCAAGTACAGAATTGAAGTAACTCTTGTTCTAAGTATTATCCCTATGTAGGGGGTTCAGAATGTGAATGACAGCAGCTGTTGTATCAACAAGCATACTACCTCCTCCCTCTGGGGAGGATAAACTGAGCTTAAAATGAATTTTTGTGTCCTAGACCCAGTTTCTAGGAACCTTTCTGATGGTCTGCAAAGAAGATAATATTCCAGAACTTAGGTGAGCAGGGTGCACCTTTTGAAAGGTATGTGAAGTCATAGACTCACAGAATGGTTTGAGTTGGAAGGGCCCTTAAAGCCCATCTAGTTCCAACCCCCCTGCCATGGGCAGGGACACCTTCCACTAGACCAGGTTGCTCAAAGCCTCATCCAGCCTGGCCTTGAACACTTCCAGGGATGGGGCAACAGCCAGGGATGAGCTCTTTTGCCTTTCAGAGAACAGTTGTTGTGTTGGGCAGTGAACACATTGAGAAGACCACTACAGAAACATGGATTTCTTGTCACCACCCAAATTTAGTTGGTATTTGAAATTTGTCTGATTTTTCTGCAAAAAGACAATCCAAAACTAACACCATCCACCCATTAAAGCAAAAAGGGAAGTCAGGACTTCTTCAGTTATAACAAAAGCTTAGAAGGTAGTATCTGTGAAGAAGGTTAGATCTTTGTAATACCAATATGGGTGTGACAAGCCTAAAATGCTATACTTGCCATTGCTTTCTACCTGGGAGAAACATGCATCAGGTATGTACTTGTAACACTTTTCCTTATATGGGTGTGGGAAATTCTTTATTTTATCCTACCACACAGTAAGCGATTTTGGCAGAGCTAAAGCCATCTTGACAGATGCTTTGCTATGTTGCCTTCCTGTCGTGTAAGGCTCGCTACAGCAAGGGCAATCTTTCTTCTTTTGACATGATGTGTGCTGCTTTGTCTTGGGAAGAGAGTGATAGCTCATGAACATCCCAGCTCTTCTAGCACTCCTGTCTGAATTTCATGAACCCTCTTTCTTCAGAGGCCAAGCAGCACACATATGCACAAAACCTGTGACACTGTATATGCTATTTGATGCTGCTGTCAAGCCACCCTAATGCTACCTCCCTGTAGCCATACCATGCAAACACAGGATGATGGCACACCCTTCTGTCATGAAAGAAACAAGCAGTGTATCTGCACTACAATTAGCAAAAGCTTTTTCTACTTTCCTACTAGATAAAAGGCAAGGAAAGCTGATGGTAGAAGCATGTGTTACTGAAAACATGCTAAATTTAAGGTTTTCCTTTTGCCTCACAATGGAACATGTTGTCTCCAGTGTAATGAGGGAAGAAGAGGACCATGTACTGAAGTCCTAATTTCTGAGAACAATGCTAGGCAGATTTCTTTGCTGATAAATACACATACAGGGGAGCACTTCACCACAAAGACTTGCAATGAATCACTACATTTTGTTGAATAGCAGCTTCCAACAGTGTTTCCTCCTTGGCTTGTCTTCCAAAGAGAAGCTATCAGATCTTTGTCTAGTTGTTGTGATGACTTGCCTTAGTCAGCATCTGGAGCGTTTCAGAGCTCCACGCAACCCAACAGGATGATGGGTGTTCTGAGCAGGGCATGTGGGAGTAACTAGCAGACATGGAATAGAACTCCTGCCTGTGATGGTTAGGAAGGTCTTTTGTTCTCATCTTTCCTTCGGCATAATGTGTTTCTATGAACAGTGGGGATGGCTTTGAGGTAAATCTATCACTCAAATTTTCACAGACACGACACCAACAAAACAGTTTCCTACACTCTTGCATTCAGAAAAGTGGGCTTTGTTCTCATAATTTTCTTCACTGTTAATCATCACAGTCTATTATTAAGTAGTAATAGAACTCTTTAATTTGTGTGCAAATCCATGAAGAAAATTCAGCTGGTGAAATCCCAGCTTTTTACAGGAAGCATTTCTGGAGTATTCAGATGAAGCAGATGGTGCCCTGAGACTCTTTTTTTGATGATAAAGTAATATCTGTAAGCATATTGTACATTTTTTTTTCTCATTCTGCTTTTCTTAAAAACACTGAAAATTCATGGGACAGTTGGAAAAACAAAATCTTTAACGTTGTTCACACCAACAAGGCAAAGCAAACATTAGTATCCTACACTTCTAATAACTGAATTTCCCTCCATTCATAGCATATAAATTCACAGCTCTACTGAATGGGGCAGAAATAAGGTCTCTCATAGCAAAAGGAACGCAATGGCCACAACAGAGAAATAAAGGAGAAATTTGCTTGTTTCAGTAAATGTTAGGGAGTGGTTCTGTGTGTGAAGGAGAAAGAGGAAAACCACCTTACTTGGTTTCTCTTGGATGACTGTAGGAAATAGCTTATGGAACTATTGTACTTCTTATGCTGCTAGAAAGGTGCAGCTACACTACAGTTTGCACTGTACCTTGCTAGGGGAGTTTAGAAAAGCTTTGACTGTGGTAGAGACAACTTGTCCACGTTTTTTTTTTTTTTTACATTGTGGGTTTGAACTGTTTCATTTCTTCAACAATAGTTTATAAATCCTCCATCATACAACTTACCGGGAGCCTTTGATGTGCTTATGAATGTATTCTGCGTGAGCTTGTGGAACCAAAGGGTCTTTCTGACCGTGAATTATAAATGTGGGACATTTAATATCTGGCAGCAACTCTTGGCAGATATTACCTAGGGAGAAAATAAATGAAGGTCACACTTTGTTTTAAAATAGCGTGAAAGACTGAAACCGCCTTTGCAAAGGACTCTGAACTCCACTGGGTTCTAGCTATTGCCTCTCCTTCTGGATAGCGTGCAACTATTCTACAGAACTAGGTAATCAGGACTTTAATTAACATTTCTTGCTCTAAAATGTTACTTCACTGAAATGTGCTTCATTAATGGGTACTAGCACAAACGGGTGGAGTAGATGAACTACTCCTGTCCCACAGTTCCCCCAGGCTCCCTTTGACTGTTCACAGCAAATCCATGTGTCTCCTTCCCGCCTTTGTTCTCTTCATCTTTGGAGTCTTATGTCCCTCATGTTTATGCTGCATTTTGTGTCGTCAGGTGTCAAGATTTGCTGCTTTTACCAACAAGCTACTTTAGGTTGTACTTGTGCCTGTTCTACCTTCCCAACCCTTTGCTGCTTAACACAAACTGTACTAAGAACTATTCAGAGGTTATTCCCCCTGCCCATTCATTTTACAGAACCTCAAAAATAATTTTATGCTTACTAGTCTTTAGTCTCACCAGAAATAATTTTAATGCTTTTCCTTAGAGTCTTCTCTTCCCCCTTCTCCCTTTTTTTCCCCCCTCATCCCTTAGTAACACAGTTTCCAAAGTCTTTGCCTGACTTCCCATGCTCCCGCAAGAGATTCTGTGGGCAAAATGCACTTGATGAGTTTTATGTTCCATTTACCTTTGAGCTCACTTTGTCCTATTTGTAGTTGCCTCCTTGCAGCTACCAACAGCTGTACAGTTAAGACACATACCTCAGCTCTGAAGTCATACACGGTTTCACAGAATTTTTTCTAATTGTTTGGTTATTTACATAGTCTCAGTTTGCAGTTCTGCCAGTTACATATTTCATTTAGAACATATTGCCCATGGTCGTCAAAGACCTGCACAAATGTTAACTGTTTTTCAGATCAAGTCGCAAGTAAATTATTTTACTAAGGACATAGTTGGCAGTCAAACTGTTATTTCCTAGTTTCCAGGTCCTAAAACTGTTTTGCACCATAACCACTAGATTATATCTACTCCGGTGACACACAACAGCAAGAAGAATCTTGAATTTTGCAGCTCATTCAGTTTCATTAAGTGTTAGCACCTTCTGAAAATTCATTTCTTACAGCTTTTCCCAATAATAGCTGTCCCATTTAGGGCAAATAATCTTACTTCTTAAAAAGGTCTTGAGTTAGCTTTGGCCAACAGAGGTTTGCTGTCTTCCTCCTATCTGTGATAGGTTTTATTAAGCCCTTTTCTTGTATTTGCCATTAATAGCCTTTTGGGCAGTGTGTTTAATTTCAAACAAGGCCTGCTAGTGTTTGAAGTTGCCCTCTCAGAGCTACTCATGGTAAAAAAGTTGCAGTCTGATGGTTGCTCATTTTTTTAGCTTGATGTTAGGCTTCTCCCTGTATCTGACCCAGTTATAGCATCTAGGTAATTCAGGTCTTGGTTACACGTCTCCAGGTGGCTTCTTTTTTGCATTCACTCCATCTCATAGCATTTGATGCATGTGCGTGCAGTAAAAGGATGTCACACACAGTGTTTCACCAGCCTAGGCTTTGGACTTAAGAATTAATTAGTTTTAAGGAGATGCATCCTAGAAAAGGTAGAATAAAATCAGATTATAATTTGTTACACCTCTCTACTGGGAGAAAGTCTAGTACTATGTTTCTGCTCCTGTGCAAAATTTTATGGAAAAAATACAAAATGAAGTAACATTTTCCTTGTAGTACCTGCTGTCTGTTAATGTATGTCACCTCCTGTCTTTCATTATGACAGCTGTAGGAAAATGTATATCAGAGAATTACAGGTTCCTTGTTTTATGTACTATGCACTTCTGCTTTAGGCAAATGAATAACAATCTTGCTCTGAATTAAAACTGCAGGTTATTATTCATTGTATCCTTGGTTGCAAAAGTCTACGTAGATTAACTGCAGAAATCTTCAGAGATAAACATATAATAATTATTATTTTGTCTAGTTTAACTATTCTTTTTGGATTTTAAACACCTAAGATGTGTCAGTAGTGTTTTTTAAATGTTTTGTTAATATTGAGTTCCCAAAATCAGAACTTCTTTCTTTTTTACCTCATTATGTGCTACTAGTTTTGAAATAGTGCTTTAGTCCCTGTTTGCAGAAACCAGGAAGAGCACACCTCACTTTTGGGATATCTTAGCAATGTCATTAAGAGGTAATCCTTTGACAGTGAGAGAAGAGAGGGAAAAAAAAAGCTTCAGTAGAAACCCTCCTGTTCAGTCTGCAAAAAGCAATGATCTAATACTGTAGTTTTGCAGTGGAGCAAGAGGAGGGACTCATCAGCTAATGCTTCCCATAAATGTGTTTTCCTCCTGTACCTTGTTGCTTCTGTGAACCATCTACACAGTAACTGCTTTATTCATGAGTGTGAGTCAGACCCAGCTTTTAATGCCATATGCAGAGACCTTCCTTTACTGGCTGCTAGGAGCGGTTAGATTTCCCTTCCCGCCCCC